CTGCTGCTGCTGCTGCTGCTGCTGCTGCTGGAGGAGCAACACGAATAGCAGCAACAACAGCAGCAACAGCAACAGCAACAGCAGCAGCAACAACAGCAGCGGCAACAGACCAATATGGAGTCAGTTTAAATACCTTAAATATATTTCAGTTTTTATTTTTGATAAAAAGACAAACATAAAGAGTTTTCTGTTTGTATAGAGAGGCCTCTGCATGCGCTGCAGCAGCAGCAGCAGCAGCAGCAGCAGCAGCGGCGGCGGTGTACGCATACAGACGAGTTTATTAGTCTAATTCATGCATAAATAGAATATTTATTTAATATTAATATTTAAATAACTTTATTTCTACTAAATTTTGCATTGTTATTGTTAAAGATAAGCAGCAAAGAGCAGCAGCAGCAGCAGCAGCAGCAGCAGCAGCAGCAGCAGCAGCACCAGTGGACAGCCTCACGGGCTCGGTTAGGGAGCAGCAGGGGGCGTGGTGCTATACCGACTAAATAAAAAGTATATTTGAGTTGTTTTTGTTTTTTAATATATTTATTTATCATTGATTTACCTTTTCTCTTCTCCATATCTAAAAAGAGAAGCAGCAGCAGCAGCAGCAGCAGCAGCAGCAGGCTGCTCCCGGTACACTGCGAGCGGCCTCTAAGGCCCCCCTGTCCCCCCCAACAAAAACAGAGAAAGATAAATATATTTAATTATTTTTATTTATTTTATTTCTATTTTCAGGTGTATATACACCTCATTTAATAGGAGGATGTTCCTCCAAAGGGGAGGGATGGGCTTGCTGCTGCTGCTGCTGCTGCTGCTGCAGCTGCTGGCCCTTTGTTTGCTGCCCCCCTCAGCAGCAACAGCAGCAACAGCAGCAGCAGATAAACAGGATGATTCCTCTGTCTTCTCCTGCACAGGCAAATATATAATTCTATCTTTTTATAAAACGTAAGACAACGAAAACCCAGCTTAGCATCTGCTGCTGCTGCAGCAGCAGCAGCAGCAACTGCAGCAGCAACAGCAGCAACAGTCTTATACCCTTAACAATATCTCTGTCTTTATTTACCTGCTCCAAATTCTGCTGCTGTTGCTGCTGTTGCTGCAGCCACTACTGCTTCTTAGTTCCTCCCACTGCTGCTGCTGCTGCAGCAGCTCCTGCCGCTGCTGCTGCTGCTGCTGCTGCTGTATAAGCCTCGTTTCAGCTGTGAAATATTATTTTTTTTGCGGTGTNCTGCTGCTGCTGCTGCTGCTGCTGTATAAGCCTCGTTTCAGCTGTGAAATATTATTTTTTTTGCGGTGTATGTGCAGCTCCCGTCGTGCATGCGTGCGGTGGTTCCCTGGGGCTACCCTGGGGCGGCTTGCTGCTGCTGTTGCTGCTCTCTCGGGGTGTACAGACAGCCTGCTGCTGCATGCAGACACCGTATGGGGCCGTTTGACCTTTTGGAGAAAAAAAGTAAACAAAAAAACACTCCTAGATAAAATTAATAAACAGAGACTCAGGGTACTGGCCAAGGTAAGAGAAACAGACACAAATCCTGCTCCTGCTGCTGTCCTGCTGCTGCTGCTGCTGCTGTCTTGCTGCTGCTGCTGCTGCTGTCTTGCTGCTGCTGCTGCAGTCCTGTTGCTGCTGCTGCTGCAGTCTTTCTGCTGCTGTTTCTGCAATTTCTGTTGTTTCATCAGTTGCTACATATGTTGCTGCAGCAGCAGCAGCATTTGCTGCTTCCATCAGCAGCAGCAGCAGCAGCAGCAGCAGCAGCAGGAGTTATAATATTGTGTGTATGGTGCAGCGGGGGTCTGAGTCTGTCCCAGTTGATGGCCGTTTCTTAGATGTGCTGCCTCGCATAGATGCAGCAAACCTGCCGCTGCTGCTGCTGAACCAGAACCAGCAGCAGCAGCAGCAGCAGCAGCAGCAGCAGCAGCAGGAGCAGCAGCAGGAGGAGGGCGTGTGTG